TGCTACTCCTTCCCCTGCATTTCTCAAGCATCTGACATTTGCACAACTTCTCCATTTCGCTGTTCAAGAAAAAGGAAAACGAAACCGTTTTGACATTATAATCCCCCCCACCCCTTGAATCACTTCACTGAAATCCCCCGGGGGTGCTCAGAGTGCAGTTCTTGCTTTTCAGGTTTCCCTCCCAAGCCCAACTGTCATTATGTCACCGTGTTTTGGATCCCATTTTCCAGCGTTCCACACCCTTCTGTCTTCATATGCTGGATGCTGCTGTTGTATTTTTTTCTTCCTGAGGCTTTTGAACACTTAAATCCGTACACAGTACACACACACTCTACACATCCCATATAAACAACCACCATACTCTAAACCATAACCTTCACCTTACCCAGAAAAAAAATACCTTTCAAAAACTCAATTCTTCAGTCTCACTAGCACAGGAATGATGACTGTCACCTGCCTGGGCACTCTCTTTCCTTTACCCTTCCTTCTTTAGGACCCCTGCAGTTATTCTATCCTCCTGCAGTTAAGCAAACAATATACAGAATATTCAGGATACCGAGCGTGTTCTCTGTTTTGGCAGGGACCCTGCGTAACCCCCGCTGCTCACACAACAACACGAGTACCCGTTATACACCAGCCACATTTCAATCCTTCCATCAGGACTCACAAAAACAACTGGAAGCAGCACACTTAGGGAAAAAACGCCGTCCTAGCCCGGTTAACTTTTTTTTTTTTTAAATGATCCGAGGGAAATCTAAGTGGGAGCCCAGGGCAACAAGGCGAAGACCTCCAAATAAATCCGGTTTGGAGATCCGACCTGTAACACGCCGAAAACAAACGGCGGCTCTCCCATCACACCATTCCCAGCTACACAACAGCGCGTCCTCACCGCCCTGTGTTTACATCTTTTCTCTCGCAGCCCGCGCTCCAGTTTTTCTCGTTCCACCGAACGACTCGAATCGAGACCTCGAATCCCACCCCAGGGACGGCAGAGACGGAGGGAGCAGAGATGGAGGGGGCAGCGATGGAGGGGTAACTCACAATAGTGCGGGGGGAAGGAAAAGGCGGCTAAAACGCGGAGCAGCGCAGGGGGATGGCGGGGTCGCTTCTCCCGCGGGAGGGAGAGCGGAGGGCGCGGGGACTTACGCAGCTTTTTCCACATGGCGCGGTGGCAGGCGATGAAGCCCTTGCGCAGGGCCGCGCACACCTCGGCCGGCTCGGCCGAGCCGAAGCCCTTCTGCTTCTTGATGAAGCCCCACAGGTTCTCCCGGGCGAACTGGGCCGCCTCCCGCCCGCCGTGCCCGTCGCACACGGCGAAGAAGGCGACGGAGCGGCGGGGCCGCCGCCCGGGGCCGCTGCCGGGGGGCTGCGCTCCCTCCTCGGCCGCCCGCGGGGTCCCCCCCCGGCGCCGCCCGCCCTCGGCCGGGGGCTCGGAGGCGCCGGGGCCTGCGGGCGCCGCTCCGCCTTTGTGCGGCCCTGGCGGCGGCTCGGGCTCCACCACGATGTGGGTCACGTCCTCCATGTATTTCCTGCCGCCCTGGTCCGAGAACACGCTCACCCCGAGCGCGTACGGCCCCTCCATGGGGAGGAGGAGGAGGAAGGGGGGGGGGAGAGGACGAGGGGGCAGCTCGCCCGCCGCTCCCCGCCCAGCGCCGCCGACAGCGAGGACTATTGCGGGTGTCCCCGGGGCTGCCCGGGCATGTCCGCGGCGCCTCCCGGAGCCTCCCGGGGCCGCTCCCGCCGCGTTCCCTCCGCCCGCCGGAACGGGAACGGCGCCGGCAACGGGGCCGGGCCGAGCCAGCGCCCCCTGCGGGCCCCGCCCGGCACCGCCGCGGCGGAAGGGGCGGCGGGCGCGGCCTCGGCCCCGCAGCGCCTCCCGCGGCCACCGGAGGGACCGGCCCGGGACAGGAGGAGGGACCCCCGCGACGGGAAGGGAACCTCCGCGACGGGAGAGGGGAACCCCCGCGACAGGAGGAAGGGGAACAACCCCCGCGACAGGAGGGCTCCGAACACACCCCCCCCAGCCGCCAGCAGGATGGCAGCTACTGACTCGAAGCGCAGGACTCCCCCCGTTGCTCCAGTGTTACTCCGGCCCCAATCTTTCTCTGTTATAGGATCCCCTGTTAGTCAGCCCCTGCTCTTCCCCTTCCCTGCTCCTGGAATGCTGGAGATTCCCCGATCCCCCAATCTTTCCCTGCTATAGGATCCCCTCTTACTCAGCCCCTGCTCTTTCCCTTCCATGCTCCTGGAATGCTGGAGATTCCCCGATCCCATCTTTCCCTGCTCCTGGAATGCTGGAGATTCCCCGATCCCCCATCTTTCCCTGCTCCGGGATCCCCTGGGTGTTACTCCAGCCCCACGTCTTTCCCTGCTCCAGCAAGCCCAGCACGTTATCCTTCCCTGCTCTAGGAATCCCTGAATGTTACTCAGCCCCTCATCTTTCCCTGCTCCGGGATCCCCTGAATGTTACTCAACCCCACATTTTTCCCTGCTCCAGGACCACCTGGGTGTTAGTCCCCCATCTCTCCCTGCTCCAGGAAATCCAGCATTATCCCAGCCCCTCCATCTTTCCCTGCTCTGGGATGCCCTGGGTGTTACTCCAGCCCCACGTCTTTCCCTGCTCCAGCAAGCCCAGCACGTTATTCTTCCCTGCTCTAGGAATCCCTGAATGTTACTCAACCCCACATCCTTCCCTGCTCCAGGACTACCTGGGTGTTACTCAGCCCCTGCTCCAGGAACTCCAGCATTATCCCAGCCCCTCCATCTTTCCCTGCTCCAGCATCCTGTTACTCACCTCCCTCATCTTTCCCTGAGCCAGAAACTCCAGCATCATTCCAACTCCCCCCCATCTTTCCCTGCTCCTGAATGAAATCCCTGCTCTCCCTCTTGGACAGCGATCCCCCTGGAATTACACATCCCAAAGGACGAGCAGGGTTTCCACTCATGACTATTTAAGACAGGAGGGGTTTGTGCATTTGGGGTTTAGAGCTGAAATTCTAGACACTGTTTCACTTCCAGCTCCCAGAGCCCCTTCCCACCCCAGCAAAAACCACCGTGGAATTTTGCAGAAATACTTCCACGGGGATAATTGTTCAGCTCAAGGACTGCAAGACCTTTGGATTTCCTTAAAGCCAACGGTATTTAAAAAAAAAATGAGAAATATATCAACAAAGCTTTGGATTCCGAGAGCTCCGAGGGATTTGCAAACCTGTTACAACCATTAATGAATTAATCCCCACTAATCCAATAAGATAACGAGCCCTTCCTACTTTCCAGGTGTTTATACCATCAGATCAATCACCAGATCAGCAGCCCAAGATAGAATTGCTTTAAAAATCCCACCATTAAGTTTCATAACAGTGTTTTAGATAAGTCTGTTGGGCACTTCAACGGCGTGTAAAGGAGATAAAGATTAATTTGAGCTCTACACAATCCCAAACACCTCGAGGTATCACTATTCCCCTTTTAATTAACATATAAAAGGTGGGCATGGCACATGAATTGCCAGGCCTGCAGCAGATCCACTGCCAGCACACACAAAATAGGGGGAGAGAAATATTTTACAATTACTTTTTAGCACAAAGTAGCCAGAAAATGAGGAAAACAACTTAAAATCATTCACCAAAAAAATGACAAAATAAGATTGTCACATCTGTGTCATGACAGGGACAACTAAAGGCCATCACTTCCAAAAAGTACAATACTTCCAAAAAGTACAATATTCCTGGATAAATGTGGGCAGGGTGTTGTCATGTGAGGATTAGTCCCATTCAATACAGGTAATGCTTTCCCAAACAATTTAAGGTGGAAAATCCCAAGCTCCTCCAGGAACAGAACCACCCAGATGGACTCCTACCCCTGTGCCTGGTGTCAACACACTCTAGGGAGTCTGGCATTTGTAAAATTTAAGGAAACAAAGGGGAAAAAATAGTTATGAGGGAAGAAACTCCTCTTCACACCCCAAGGTATATCTGTCTTTTTATATCCAAGTATTGCTTTTGCCTTTTCAAGGGAAAAAGTGCCTCGTTTCTGTCAATACTTCTACAATCAAGGCAATGGCAGCACATATAAATCATACCTACACTCACACATTTAATCAAATTACAATACATTAAAGATGTTCCTGCCTGCAACAACTGCATTCCCCAAACCACTGCTGGAAAACCAAAGTGCTTCAAGATTTACAGGGCACACAAAAAAACCCAGCAGATCCTCTGGCAACTCAAACCATATTTCCTCATTTTCCTCTGAAGTCCTTCAAAAAAAAAAAAAAACCAAACCCTTTCAGCTAAACCAGAAATAGGGACACATAAAAGTCAAAGACACGAGGAGGAAAAATCTTCTAATAAAGATGAAGTTTGATGCAGGGAGAAAAAGCTTTTAATAAAGAAGCAGCTTGATGGGAAATTTCTCCACTGCAGGACCTGAGTCCCAGGCAACAACTGAAGGGGAATTGAGCATTTTTTATGCACCTCTCACTTGGATATATAAAATTGGGGAGTGCTTCCCTTGGGTTTGGACCTAAAGGAAGCAAATGCAAAGCAGAAAGTGCCCATGGCCCCTCAGATATTTATTTTGATAACCTGACTCAGGTTAAACAGCTCACAGTTAAAAGCATCTTTTATGTGAGTAAAAAATCATTTAACATAAAATGTTTCTAACTGAAACACAGTCAGATATTTACTTGACCTTAATGATAGCTTATTTCTCATTTTTGGCTGACAGTTACTGAAATAATTCCATCTCAGAGTGGCTGTACAAGCATTATTCTTTCTTACTGTTGTTCAATTAATTCAAATAATTTCTCAGAATTAAAGGCCATGACTTCTTTTGCGGATGAAAAGTTCAGTTTTTCTTTTAACTGGAGTTTAAAAAACAAATTGTCAAATAGGCTCAAACTTAAATTAATTTAGTTGCATTTCTCACTGCATCACTCCTTCCCCTCAGCTGCATCAGACAATAAAAGGAACCAAGAAAGGGACGTTGAAATTCATCCTAATTCCACAAGTTCTGGGTGGCCACACAAGGATTTAACACCTCTGGGTTTGATGGATCATCTCCACATTCCCTGAGGTCTGACATTGGCTCTCACATCTCATCCACAATGGGACTCCTGAACTGATGCATATGAAAAACAAAAAATGAAAATGGATTTATCTGGGTTGCAGTAAACATGAAAGGAAGGACAAAAAAAAAAATCATTAAAAAAAGATCTGACAAGTTCATGTGGATGCTCTGCATTTAGCTCTTGTTTTAGAGCAACAGTCTGTTATGTTGGCTCCTCTACAGTTTAATGATTTCCTGTTAAGAATTTAAAATTAGAAGCCTCCAACAACTTCCCCATAAACTATTTTCAAGGTTCCTTTAATATCCACATCAAGGAGATGTAGTAGGTTCATATGTTATCCATGTCAGCTCGCTTCCTTCCCACTTCAAAATAAGCACATTGCAGGGAAATTCAGCAGGTTTTTATTGTTTTCTTAGAACCTTTTCTTCCCCCAGCTACAGTAATTAAAAAAATAAAGCTGTTCACAGACACGAGCTCATATTTAAACCATGACAAAACAAGAACTGCTGGTCTAATGTGAAAAGCCTAAATTATGATCCCAAATCCTGATTTTCCATTGATGAGTTGGCTGGAATTTTCAACTACATCCACACTGAAATTCATCTTTGCTACGACATTCGTTTGACAAACACATTTTTGCTCTTTGACAGCTACCTTACCTTTGAGGAAAACATGCAAACAACACTCTGGCACTGGCAGCACATGAAACAGATTCCATGTTTTTCATCCAGGCTTCCTGGAAATATAGTCCTAAAAGAAAAGACAGTATTTATTTATTTAGCAATAATTGCAGTAGTTATATTACTACAATATTTTATATTGATAAAATTATTTGAGACAGGCATATAAAAGGCAGAGCATCTGCAGGTCTCCCCTCTGAGTTCCTCACTGGGTCAGTGAAAGGAGTCACACAAACACTGATCACCACTTCCCTTAAGAGAATCCCTAAATCCCCATCCATCCCTATCCCCTGAAAATGTTCATTATGTGAACACTTCCTAATTGCTTTCAGTTAAAGGCAAGTCAGGTGAAACTGCAGGTCACTCACCCTGACCTGAGAACACAGCAGTGAGGAAAAAGCAGCAGAAGAGGCAATTCTGCTGCTTCCTGCACGAGCTCTAACCAAGGTACAGCTCCTGATTTGGCTGAAATACAAATCTGCAAGCACAACTAAAAAAAACCAACAAAGGAACAAAAAAACCCAAACCCCTTTTCAGTTTGCAGCTCAGCCACAGAGTCAATAAATTGTGAGACAAAGACAATGCTGTTACTTTCTGCAGTGATTTTCAGACCCAATTGGCTTGTTGGTCATCAAACTGTGGGTTCACAAACAGATTTGGGAAAGAATCCCAGAATGGTTTGGGTTGGGAGTGACCTTAAAGCCCATCCAGTTCCCACAGGCAGGGACACCTTCCACCAGCCCAGGTTGCTCCAAGCCCTGTCCAACCTGGCCTTGGACACTTCCAGGGATCCAGGGGCAGCCACAGCTTCTCTGGGCAACCTGTGCCAGGGCCTCCCCACCCTCCCAGGGAGGAATTTCTTCCCAATATCCCACCTAACCCTGCCCTCTGGCAGTGGGAAGCCATTCCCCCTTGTCCTGGCACTCCAGGCCCTTGTGAAAAGTCTCTCTCCATCTCTCCTGTAGCTCCCTCAGGCACTGGAAGGCCGCAGTCAGGTCACCCCAAAACCTTCTCTTCTCCAGGCTGAACATTCCCAACTCTCAGCCTGTCATGGGAACAACCTCCTCCAGCACAGCTGAGCTTCAGCAACTCCCTGCTGTCCAGAAATAATAACTCAGTACCCGCAGCTGGTTGGGATTTTAGGGGTTTTTAAGGATTTTGAGGTCTGGGGGGAACAGAACAGCATCAGGCTCCAACCACACTCTACTGAAACAGCACAACCATCTCTGCAGATGGAAAATCTCTTCCATACGAACTCCAACAATTGAGGGGTTGTTTGATCTCTGGGGGCAGGTTTGGGTTGTTTTTTTTTTTTACAATTTGAAGACTCTGATTAGATTTTCTTTATGCATTTACCCATCACAAAGCTCGTCTACTTCCCCTTCCCCTCTGATGACACCCAGATGTCCCTCCAGACGCTGGACACGTGAGGGGTCCAGAGGCCCAGCTGCAGCTTCAAAAAGCTCAGATTCCAGCAGACAGACAGACAGGCTGAGGGCTTTTCCCTCAACAGACAGACAGGCTGAGGGCTTTTCCCTCAACAACAGCCCTTACCACACTCTGCTTTTTTTTTTTTTGTTTCGTTTGTAAACGTCCTTCAAATGTTTCCCTCTACAAAGAAGACAAAAGAAAAGAGAGAAGATACCAACAAAAATAAGAATATCCATCAGAACCTCTGCCAGCAAAGCACTGGAGTCAGAGGGATTTTCCAACATCTGCAGTTATTAATGAGCAGTTGCATTCAAAGAATTCACTGATGTGAAAATGCACGTCATTGCACGGAGCCACTTTGCTGATAAGTTCCCAATACAGATTAAGGAGGAAAAAAAAATCATTAAACAAACAGGATAACTCCTAAGTTTAAAAAGATTCAGAGGGCTAATAAATTATTTAATAAAATAGATTTTGTAGGTCAGTTTTGCTGCTAAATGTGTTACTTTGATGGTTACCTACCATCTCAACATTAAACACATACAGTGAACTGAGAACTTAATCAACTCTCTAATAACACCTTTAAAGCAAAATAAATATTTAATATAGAAGAGCACCAAGTTGCTCAATACACAAATATATTAAATCACACAGTATTAATAAATAACAAATGCTTCTATATTTAAATTCTATTTCTACCTAGAGATTAAATCACTTTTGCCATGAAGATTATTCTTCAGGCTCCACCAAAATAAATTATGGCTTGAATACATAACGTGCTCCAGAGAAAGTTAATACAACATCCCTCTTTCATAGATACATTTATTTCTTCTCCTGGAACATGCACATTATAGTTTTGCCTACAAAAAATTACCAGGCAGTAAAGGTGTAGCCTGGCTTATTTTTCAAAACATAGTAATTTATCAAGAAGATAAAGTCCATTGCCACACTGCTTGAAAAGTATATTTACCTTAGCTATTATTTTTAGAAAAATTATTAGACCCTTTATTTTAAAGCAAAAAAAAAAAAGAGCATTATGAGTTCGAGAATTACCATTTTTAATATGTTACCAATATTTTTCCTTCGTGCACTGAAAAACTTGTGCTCTCCTAACAGGCCCCCAACCTTCCCAAACTAGCCCTCCCAAATTAAGTGGGATAAATAGCCTTTCCTGGTGGGGCTAATTGCCAACAGAAACCAGCTGTATTCCCTCAACTGAAATAAATTCATTTAATGTCAGAAAATGAGAAAAAACCAGAAAGCCACCAGCAGGAAAAGCAGAAGGAAAAAGAGGACAAAGCAACGTTCCATGGTCTGTTTATGTGGCATTCCTTTCTTCCCACCCCATAACATTTCTTTCTGCAAGTAAAGGACAGAGAATAATGTCCTCTCACAAAATGGGAGGAACAGCAACAATTTAGGATTATTAAAAGTAACGTGCCCAAAGTGCAGAAGCTCTGGCTCCTATCATTTTTAAAATAAAAAAAAAAAACCAAACAATAAGTCCCAGTAGCAGTCCTACATTAGCCAAGAAAACCAAATTAAGACTGGACAGAGAAATATTTCCCAGTATAGTCAGTGCACCAAATGTTTGGGTTTTTTGTGTTAATGAGTTTGAAAAATGCCAAATATTTAACTCTGAATAAGAGTTTTGTTCAAGACCACACTAGAGCAGTCACACTTGAGTGATAGCAGCTTGGTGAGATAATTAAATCTACACCAAGTTGTAACCTCAGAGTCCTTACCTGGGGTAGTTGAATCACTGGCTACACAGGGTGAGTCTCCTTTAGACCAAATGACCTAAAAATCTCCCACCTGTGTCTGGGAACCACCCAACATGTTCCTAGTGGTGTGTGTGAGCCCTGCATGGAACACAAATTGGGAAGAAAAACACGCCTTAAAGAGCTTGCTGAAGATAATGAGATATTGATAAAATATAGGGGCACTCCCACTTGGGGTCACAGGGCTCATTTAGGGAGGAAAAGGGGGTTTTTTACCACATGGCAGCCAAGAAGGAACACCAGAGAAGTCAGAGGAATGTCGGGTTCAACAGCAAACCTCCTCAAACACCAGGTGCCCAGATATCGCTCGCAGGAGCTGCCAACACACCTGGAAGTCACAAAAAGCCAAATATCAGCTGTGTGTTAGCACAGGTAAGCTGAAAATAATGATATTTACACTCTTAAAGAGGTTTAGGCTGGATGGGCCCTGGAGCTCGGCGTGAGGGGGGACGTTCATTAGGGTGGGAAGGGATCTCTGGATATCACCCACTGGATATCTGGATATCACCTGGAGCAGGAGCCTTGACTGCATCCAAGTGGGTTTGGAATGTCTCTGGAGAGGGAGATTCCACACCCCCCCGGCACCTGTTCCAGTGTTCGACCACCTCTCTCCATGTAAAGAAGTTCTTCCTCGTGTTTCGGTTTCTGGCCTTTGCTCCTCCTCCTGTCGCTGGGCACCGCTGGAAGAGAGTCTGGCACCATCCTCCGACGCCCACCTTGGAGATATTTAATGTGCACTAATGAGATCTGCTCAGTCTTCTCCAGAATAATCAGGCCCCGCTCCCGCGGTCTCTCCTCGTCGGGGAGACGCTCCGGACCCTCCATTCTCGGCTCTGCTCCCTCACATTCCCCCGCGGCCCCTCGCTGCTCCCTCAGCCCCGCGGCGGTTCCCTCGTGCCTCCCTCACAAAATCCCCCGTTACCGCTCCGGCCGCAGCCGCCCGCCCGCGCCCGGGGAGGGCTGAGGGACCCCGGGAGCCCCCCCGGGACACCCCGGGGCGTGAGGGGGAACGGGCTAGGAGAACGAGAGCCCTGGGGCGTGAGGGGGGAGCGGGCAGGACGCGGTGGGAGCCCCGGGGCGTGAGGAGGGCAGGGCTG